TGCCCAACAATTGTTGTAGGGGCCCTTGTTTGGCTGGCAGGACCTTACTCGTGTATCTCAAGAGAGTCCAGGAGCTCTGACAACGCCACCGGCTCGAAAAGCAGTTCGGGTCTCATATCTTTGCCCAACCTTGTTTCATATGGGGTCAAGTCAACAGCATGAGACTCATGCTGAGGATTTGAGCCCGCCACAGTCTGAGTCTGCGAAGGCACATTGGTCCTGGCAATTTCCCGCTCAGGTACTGTAAGTCTGTTTGTTTTTTTGGCAGGTACTGGAGAAAAGCAAAAAGCCTGAAGTAAAGCAGCTGAAGTTTGACTCTGACTCGAAGTGCGAGGGTGATTCGAAGGTCAAGGGTGTTTCGAATGGTGAGGTCCCAGCTCCAAAACTTCCAATGACAGTCAGTGGTTGCAATGGAAAAAGTGACCCACCAATGTCCGTGGAGAAACGCAGAGATCTTGAACATGAACTAGCTGTTTTGACTGCGAACCAGAAGAAACAAAAGAAAGAATCCAAGGGTGCAGGGAAAGGGAAGAAGGCAAATGACGACACCACATCGAAAGAAAAGATGACCGCGAAATCCAAAGCAAAGTCAAAGGCAAAGACTGCTGCTGCCAAAAACCAAGGTGACGATGATGATGATATTGATGGTAACCCCTTGGATCCTGAGGAGAGCCCTAGCAGCGGAGAAGAACTAAGCCCATCCGACCCTGAAGTGAAGAAGGCCTGGCAATTACCTTGACACCTACCATATCCGGTGGGAGGGTCGTGGGTATATTTCTTCAGTTTTAAAATAGATTCTAACAGCCCTCCTCTGCCTTCCAATCCTTGATTGACCATACCACCATCGCTTGCCCCAGGCCGAGCCTGCGCCAAGCAACAAGGCAGCTGAAGCGGCTCCTGCAAAGGTTGCAGCAAAACAAGAGAAGCCCACTGCCAGGAAGTCGAAGACTAAACATGTTGCGGCCGGCGCGGACCAGATTGATCCCAAGGAACAACGCAAGGCAGCATTCAAGAAGAACCCAAGCCTACCAGAGGCTGAAGCCAAAGACCAGCTTGCAGGGAAGACTGAAGAACTGTCAGGCAAGAGGGGAAAGACTGAGGAGAACCAGGAGAAGGCAGAATCGAATAAAAAGTCCGTGAAACCAAGAACGTCGAGCAACGCACCAAAGGCTGACAGCTTCAGGAAGAAGACTGACAGTGATGGGCAGGGCTTGGCAAAAACCAAGAAAGACACAGAGCAGCCAGCCAAGGAGTCCAAATCGGATTGCTCAAAGAGTAGTGGGCAGGATGAGGAGGCTGAGGACGAAAGTATGGAGATCCTGACATCGGCCTTGAACAAACAGTGGGCAATCAGGAGCGCCAATGAGGAGGACAAGGGTGAAGAAACAGTGAAGGGTACATTGGATGCGAAAAAGGTGTCAATGCGGGCAGCTGAGATCATCAAGACGAAAGAAATGATGTCAAAGTCAGAAAATGAGGAGGCAGAAGAAGCCCCAAGTCAGACAGAAGAAAGTCAGACAGAAGAATCAAAAGAGGCCCAGGAGAAGACAAACAAAGAATCTGAGGAAAAAGAATCAGACTTCGAGGAGAAGTGGCAGGAGACTAACTTCAAACCAAATGAGAGAGAAGATCCAGTTGAGATGCCAAAGGATGAAGAGGCTATTGAAGAGGAAGCGGAGAAGGAAACAAGTTCGGAACAGAAGAAGATGATGGAAACAGCGGAGAAAAGGATTCCGTCTTCGTCTTCAAAGGGGCAGGGTGAAGAAGTGAAGGTGGATGCTGACCAGAGGAAACTTCAAAAGAGAGCGAACGAGGCCAAGAAGACAGGTGATGAAAAGGAGGAAGTCGAGCCAGAAGAGGAAGACTCAAAGAGTAAAGGAAAGAAGAAGAGAGCAAAGGCAGCTCAGGATGAACCCAAGAAAAACGAGGATTCGCAGAAGGCAAAGAAGCTGCGCAAAGAAAAGAAGACTGAGGAAGCTGAGGATGGAAATCCAAAGAATGAAGACGACTCTGATCAGCAAGCAAAGAGGAAACGCAAAGCAAAGATGACTGAATCAGAGATTGAACAGAAGAAGCCAAAAAAGGAAGGGCGCAGAAAGAACAAGAAGGAGGAGAAGCAAGAGTCAGAGGCACAGTGTGATTCAAAGGGCAGCGAGGATGAGGATGTGCCTGACGACAAGGATGATGACGACGGACAGGACGAGGGCAGTGTCAACAAAAAGAAGAAGCAAACCAAGGCTGGGATCTTTCAGGGCTTTGGAATTTAATGATCTTCGATACTTTTTCGATGTTCGATGTTCAACAATCAATGGATTGAGATGGATTAGGATTCAATTCGAACCTCTCTTTTTACTGAATTTGTTTGACGTGAACTTTAACTCCTGTTTGGAGGCCAAAAGTGGGTGCACAGGTCGGCGAGGCATGCGCGATGTGTTTTGGAAACATATCGACGAAGCCAAGAAGCGTTTGGGGGAGGAGCATCCAAGCAAAAGCAAGTGGCAAATCCTTGAGATGGCCCGAGCTGAGTAGAGTCCCCAGCACTATTCATTACACAAATTAGTATGAAACTGAAATCAAGTTGCAAAGGAGTGACTTTAATTACAGGCCCCCTTGATCTACTTCAAGTCATCCCTGTCTGGGTTCTAAGGTGGAAGACACATCCAGATCGGCTGAACAGCATTCGCAACATGAGCAATAGTGAGCTGAGTCGTCGCAGATTGTTGCCTAAGCCGCCGGCCCCCCTCCCTGATTCACACCCGGCTGACCAAATCCCAGAAGTGGAGAGCCCAGCTGAGAAGGAGTCAACCGCCACTGGGTCGGATGCAGAAAACGCATCTGACAAGGAGTGAGTGGTTTTAATCCCAAATGTTTGATGAGCTGATGGCTTAGATCCTAGACACTCATGGGGAAATGAGTGTTCCTGCCGTTAGCTTGGACCAAGCAACTACGTGGAAAATGCCAACCACTTTCTTCAGATTCATTTCAGTTCCACCCAATGGTGTTCTTGAATGAAACCTGTTCATTCTTCGGGCTTTGTATCACTCTTCAATTCCCCTATTTTGTGTTATCATCCATGCCAGGTGAACTCAGCAGGACAATGACTTGCCAATGGACATCGGAAAAAACCGAGGTGGTCCTGGAGATCCCAGACCAAGATCAGAACTCCAAGGCGACCTCAGACTCCACTCGGTGCTCGTGGGCGCAGCTCTTGCACGAGATGGAGGAAAACGATGTTACAGATCCAGGTATAAATTGCCATGAGCTATTGACACCTCTGGGCACAGAAGGTAGGGATCCAAGTGATTGAACATATACCACTACATGACCTGCAGAACCACAAGTAGGTCTTATGATGGCTTACCTAACTTGACTGAGGAGGGCAGCAGCGCTACATCATCAAACCCAAGCCGACGCCCATTCTGTACCAGTACAACGCGGTAACGACGGGCCACAAGTACACCAACTGTGCGAGTTCGTTCTCGGCTGAGGACCCTTATTTTTCTAAATCCCATGGAGCACCATCACTCATTGTCCAACAGCTTGCATCACTTCCTCAGAATGACCGTCGTCCATACCATCTCTACCCATCTCTACTATTAAAGCTGGTATGGGCTGGTTGTCGCAATCGTCATCCTCATCGTGATGGTAATCCTGATGATGGGGATGACAATTGAACATCTCTGTCAAGCAGTCTCATCACCCCAAACAAGATCATCACAAACTAAAGTTTCTCGCCATGCACCATTAACAGTTCTCTTGCTTACTATGAACAAACAACCGCGAGCATCATGTTATGATGTTTATCTATTGAGTAAACAGATCGTCAATCACACCTATGTGCAGAAGGCAGTATGACCATTACACACCCATACCGATGTCCAATGATTTTGGGCACCTACTTGATGGCCCAATTTGAGAAACAATTAGAGGAGCTGGATGCCAGCAAGGTTCTGGACAAGATCTGGAGGGTATACTACAAACAGGAAACAACGTCTCTTGGACTTGACCTTCTTTGCAACCCATGAGCCGATCAAACTAAAGTCCCCGTGCTCTCGCGATATCTAAGGAGATCGCGCCAAGAAGCTTGCATTGCATAGCTTGAAGGGTGCAAATGCGAGCAATGTTATATAATGTACGTATTTATAGTGAGTGTATGTTGAACATTTATGCCCGAACTGAGGGAAACCTCTTTATTTTCTCCATTCTGACATGGATATGGCTGCTGGTTCAGTGCTACGCCTGGTCTGAAGTGTGAGGATGGTAGCCACACGTGGTTGGGGTATAGACTGGACATGGCTGACTTTTGTGTTGAAATTCAAAAGTATGTCCTTTCCAACTGTTTCTTTCAGAGGAATCCCAACTTGAAAAGGAAGCCATGTGAAGCAGTCTAGGGTTTTGCTTCGTTTTGCACTGGTCCTAGATTGGCAAGTGACAGGGCTGGAGTACAGTGATTGAAAAGTGCCGCATGAATTTCCACATGGTTCAATTGGCCATGCAACTGCCAAAAGATCAGTGAAGACCGATCCACTACAGAGCAGCGGGGACTCAGAGAAAACAAACGCGTCGCAGTGCCAACCAGGGACTGGGGATTTGCTGAATCCTGAATGTTTTGCTCTCGATCCTGAATGTGATGAAATCTACTTTATATTAATATATTTGTCTATTTAATATCGTTACGTTTACATCCCCAGTTTTGCAGTGCTCGTAGCGTCTTCCCGGGGGCAGCACAGCACTATACACCAGCTTCACCTTGGACGGGACCGCTGATCAAAACAACCTCGACATGTTTCGGTGCTTTCGGACGGAAATGGAGCAGCTTTCGGTGGGTGAACTCATCGCTGGTGCCAGCTTGGCAGCTTGCCGGGTGAAAGCCTTCACCTTTTGGGACATGAAGGACTTGCAAGTCCTACTGTATGGCCTGTAGGGGGCGTTTGAAGGGCGTTGATGACACTTCCTCCAAGGACACTTCCCAGATCTTCCCTTTTCTCATCCTCACTAAGGACACCTTCGCCTCCAAGGCCTCAACCATGGCTCAGACCAGCACGGGGGAGCAGATTTCGGAACAGTCCACGGAGCTACCGCACCAGGTGGGAGGGAGGTCGATCTTGCCAATCTCTGAACTCTTCAACAAACACCACAAAAGTTTTTGGGATGCTCCAACTGACGTGTGCCATGCGTGTGGCGCCACGCTCACGCCACACGCCACACGCTCACACGCTCGCAGGTGGATGGCTCACCACGCCGCGGGAAGCCGATGACGCCAAAGGCGTCATCGGTGAAACTTCCTGCGGAGGCGTTGAAGGCGGTGGCCGAGAAGGGCATCGAGAACGTGGCCGAGAGCCTTCTGGGGTCTTCCGAGCTGACTGCGTGGGCCGAGAGCTTGGGAGACTTGGGAGATGGGTGGAGATGGGTTTCTGAGATATATATGCGAGATTTCGGGAGATTTTGGAATGCATTTTGTAAAGTTGTACAGTTTGGGGTCGGTCAGGACTTCTTGCTAATTTTGAGGGAAGATCGTTGAACATTCTGTTTACAAGTCTGTTTGGGGTGAAAAGAACTATCGGGTGGCTGGCTCTGACCTATAGGCTTCATTCCATGCAGGCTGGCTGAAAACTCAAAGAATGTCAACAAAGCTGTTGTATAATAACTATGTTATGTGTGTGTGGGTGTGTCTCTCTGTGTTTTCTTTTGGCTTTCTACATTATATCAAAAGTATCGCTAGTTTCCTGCTGAAGTTCCACGAAACTTTGATTTGGTGTCAGGAAGGGCATGGAAGGAGGGAGGATACCCTTCCCTTTTACAATATATATATATATAAATAATGTATATATATATATATCACATCACTGTCAACACCCCCAAAATAACATAAGCACCCGAATAGCTCCTGGTGAGTCCTGGTTTCGTTGAGGGAACGAAGCAGCCTGAAACGCCCAGCTGGGCGTTTCAGGCCTTTGAGCCCAGGATATTTTAGCCCTTCAAGCAAGAGCGCAACTGGAAGTCGAGCAGGACAATGGAGTCCCGTGAGCACCGATCCGTATTGTGACTTCGAAGATCTGGATACTGAATGTTTTTATTTATGTTTTTTAAAGGTCTTTTTGGTTTCTCCCTCCTGTGATGGTAGCTTATGTTCTGGGAAAGCATTAAGCTTGGGTGATTTAGCACTTTGGAAAGTGGCTTTCAGCTGGACGTGCGGAGTTGTGTTTTCCAGCATTTCTGGGCCCACAATATTCTTGGAATGGATTCCCATCTGAACGCACGAACTGTTTAGTCATTGTGGGAACATGTGCAGGCCGTTTGAGCATATTTGAGTCACATGTTTGCCCATGCATGTCACCTGAAGAGACCCTCAAGAGACAGGTGTAGATCCAGAGCCTTTGGTCACCATGTTCCAAAAACTTGGGTGATTTGGTTCGACTTAAGTACAATATAAATAGAGACTTGGGTCAGCTGCTTTGGAACACAAAAGAGCACAAAACACTCTGACCTGGAGCCTCTAAGGTGCCGTAGAAGTTGCAATGCAGGCACACACCGAAGTAACTTGAGGACTTTAGGGGGATGAGATCGGACACCAAGAAGCAGGTGGCTTCTGTATGTGCTAGAATAGGTGGACATCCCAGTTCGACCACCTGGAAGAATGAAAACAGACCAAAACTCATGGGTCGGGGGTTGCCCCTGCTTCAATACACACACTTATTTTTGAAAATAGTGTTGGCCATGGGGGTCTTGGGCTTGGTGTTGCTAGAGGCAATGTTTGGTTTTGGCTGAGGCTATGCTTCTGGAAGTCCGACGATGAAGAACCGTCAGAGCTTCCTATCTTTGGAGCAGCTTTTTTCATTGTGCAAGGCGCGCAAATGCCCCCAGCCTCCACTGCAAGTCACAAAGGGAGTGTATAAGCTAATCCTATATATTTTTTATGCATCACGCATACGTGCTGGGACGCCCTTGGCTAGGACTTTAAAATCATGATTGGATGATATTAAACATGTTATTAAATAAACAAGTTGGTTCCTTGGGAATCCAGCAGACCTGCCACTGCCATAAACGATCTGCAACGCAATCAGCAATTGGCAGTTGATACCAACACTGGCACTGCATATACCTTCTAAGGCTTACGAATGATGACCCGAGTTGAGCTGCAGTCGTGTTATACAAAGTCTCACTCAAGTTCCACAGGAGCTGAAGATCATGCCAGAGGTCATTAGCCGGCAGGCGGTGGTCAGGATCTTCAAGCGAGCACAGAGTGCGGGCCTGCAAAGCGCTCATCAGGGCAGACACTTGCCTTTGCGATCAACATATTTTGCCCACAAATCACATGAACCCCTGCAGATTCCTGCAGATGTTGGTAGGTCCTGGTAGGTGTTCTGTTCTGTCCAAGGATCAATCATCGAAGCGTAGGGGGATCGTTGATAGTACAGACACAGCGACGGACACTAAAGGACAAGGCATTTCCTGTGCCAGGCCATTTTGGTGTCGTGGCCTGGCACAGGAAACTTGTTCTTTGCATTCGCACATTCTTAAGTCAATACCCTGCCCTTCCAAGCCTAGAGAGTTTCTTTGCTGGATCGGGTCCCAATTACGGTTGTTGGCTGAGGCTGTGATACATATGAGGTTCAGTTCAGTTTTTGTTGAGCTTGGTTGAAGCCTTCGAGCGTTGATTTGCTCTGTGGTGTAGCTGAATTCCTGTATGAAACCGGTGGTGCAGCGGCGTGGGTATTTCCAAGCAAGCAATCGAGAAAAATGGGTTCGGTGTGACTATGTGTGCTGAGTTTGTTCCATTTCCATGTTTGTTCTTTGTTTCAATTATGTAGATCTTGGAGACGCACTTGTTTCACCAAGGCAACTATGGCTTCCTGTCACGGGAGGCGTTTGTGGATGCCATTGGCCGGATCGGGATCCATGCCTATTCGCAACCCCCCTACTGCGATGCCCGGCTTGATGTGTGTGCTGTCCCTGGCCCTACTGCAAACCACTAATAGGGTATATATAATATCTTGTTGGATCTTGTTACGTTATGTTGGGTTATAGTTACATATTTGCATGCACTTGTGTTTTCCAGATCCCCAGATCCAAGGATGAACATGTGGAGCCACATGAAAAGCTGCAGGCCTTCCTTTTTGATCGACTCCCAGAAGAGATTCGAACTGTGCGAGATCGGTTCTTGTACGGATGTAGTGGTCGGGGGCCAGCTGTGCCACCTGGCTACATGGCAAGTGTGCGCAGTGCTTGATGGGTGCAAGTGCACCGATGCACCAAGCACCTGGCAACCGAGTCCCCAAAATGCCAAGCAGGGCTGTAGTCCATGCAACGCTGTAGTCCATGTCAACAACATTAACATGCATGGTGCTTGGAGCCAGTAGCAGTCCTAACTTCATGCATGGTAGATGAGGAATCACTGAATGCAGTTCGACAAGCAAAAACAGACAAGCGGAACCTCCATGCGTATCCGTTTGAACCATTTGTTGCTTTTCGAGCCGCTTGTGCTGCGTCTCCAGGCCTTCAGTGTTCTTTTGGGGTTCGACCGAACGAGCTGGAGGCAGTTCTTCAATCACCAAAGCAGCTGGAGCCCAAAACACAACTTTAGAACAGGTCGCTCAAGCCCAACGCAGCTTTTCTACGACTGCAGCAAGGTATTAAATGCCTAGCTTTCGTCCCCCTTGGGACTCTTCAGGGCTTTGCAGCCGCAAATGCTGCGGTGATCAATCACATGCCTAGGCATCGCGCATTCAATAACCTAGGCAAGTGCAAACTGGACATGAAAAAATTTTTTGGTCCCTCCCACAGCCAAACCCTTAGACCAAAAATTTCCAAACTTGCTTGTACCGACTTTGGAACAAGCTGCGCCCAACGCTCCAGCTTGTGGTGAGTTTCAATGCTGGAACACTTTGGCGCAGCAATGGCTCAAATTGTCGGAGCTTTTGAGAAACCCAACTGGCAGAAATGTCTTTGTTGTATGGCAGCTTCAAAAAGGCTTTCCGTACCAAACCAGGTGCAGCATGCCTTCTCATCCGCTTTGCTCTGTAACGAGCTAACAAACGATCAAAGCCAGCAAGGTCAAAGCCCCTATCTTTCAAACGACGTCTGAAAGACCGAATGCTTGCAGCATAGTCAGAAAAAAGGCGGTTCCGCCTTTCACATCTAATCGCTCCTCCTAACTGCAGGCTTGCAAAAGTACTGGCAGGGTGATTCGAAAAAGCCGGCACATAAAGATACAGGTTCTGGGGTTTCTCAAACAGCTTCCAATGCACACGGCGATTGAGCAGAATGCTGAGGTGAAAGTCCAAAAAGGGAACTTCCATTTCACCAGAAACCTGAAACTTCAACGAAGGATGCCAACCTTCCGCCTTTTCAACCAGACTTTGCACGTCACCAGCCCACAGAAGCAAAAGATCATCAATGTACCTTCTGAGGATCTGCAAATCGCAGCCACACATTCGTGACATGTATCGGTCAAAGTGCCATAAGTAAATGTTTGCGAGAATGCCAGCAACTGACAAACCTGTTGGAATGCCATCTTGCGCCTCAAAAAGAAGCCCTTGAAAAGAAACAACGCAAGCTTCCAGCACCAACTCCAAAGCTTTGACAATGAAGTCTCCCAACGCTGAATGGTTAAATGATTGCCTCACAAAAGGGCCCACAATAGACATCAAATGCTTCCTATCCACCGAAGGATACAGGTTAACAATGTCAAGCGTGACAAATCTCATAGCGGCATCACACCGAAGCGGTTTCAGCTGCTGCAAAAGTTGGTCTGAAGAAACAATGACAGAGTCCAACTGAGGCATAAGTGGCCCCAAACGCTCCACCAAAAAAGTTGAAAAAGGTCCATACCAACTGTTACGTACATTGCAAATTGGCCTGGAAGAAACTGGTTGCTTGTGCACCTTAACTAAAATGCGGAAGATTCCAACAGCACTTACTTGAAACTTGCTGAGTAGAAAATCCCGCTCAGCCAAAGAAAGCACACCAGAAGAAAAGAAAAACTGCACCATGGCATCAGCGCCGAACTTTAGCTCAGCAACTTTCTTTTGCAACTCCACCGGACTCAACTGTACATATCCCTGAGCCAATTGAAGTTGAACTTGTTCAACAAGCCATGACCGAAGAACTAAACAATCTCCGAGCCCTTTGTCGCAATCCACAACTGCAACCAAATCCGCATGTTGTCGCAACCAGGCCTTGGCTTTTCTGTCAAACCAAGACTGATTGGATTTGAAGGTCTTAGGTTCAAACTGGGTCAGCTCATGAGAGAGTAACCGAACGAAGGCGTCAACGCCTGCACTGCCTGGTGGCTGCCACGTGCTTTTCAAACGACATTTTGACACGCACGCAGCATTTCCTTGAAAGACTCTGCAAAGAAGCAACTGCCGCTTCAAAGCATCCAAGCCCGACAAAATGTCTTTGACATTGGTAGCTTTCCTTGTAGGAATGAACTTGCCACTTCTTGCAACATGCAGGAGGACAAACTTTGGGACACAAACATGCAGGAAAAATTTTTTTTCGTGTTCTTTTGGGGTTCGACCGAACGAGCTGGAGGCAGTTCTTCAATCACCAAAGCAGCTGGAGCCCAAAGGGCTTTTCCAGCGGCAAGGCCTTCGTTGCAGTTGGCCATGAGCGCCTGTGCCGACGACTTCGCCGACCCCCCGGCGAGGCGAAAGAGGAGCGATGGAGGGGGGGGCGATGCACCGAGCACCGAGGGACGCACCGAATCTCAGAGTCCTCCGAGACTCCAAGGCGAGGCTTTTGGAGGGTTCCTAGCTGGACTCTTCATGGGGAATTTCCATGAATTTCCTAAGATGGGACCAAAACAAAGCACTATAGTCACTATATGCACTGACGGGGGGACTTTCTGTGGGTTCTGGCCATGGGTTTTCCAAGGCACCCTGATTTTGGTCACCGAGGAGCAGTTTGGAGTCTGGAGGGTAGCTTGCGCTCGGGGTGCTATGTTGGTACTGGTGTGGATATGCAACCAATTGAATCCAACTGGCTGTGAGTCAGGGAGTCTTTCCCCAGGGCGTTTGTTTGAACATGTTTGAACGATGAGGACGGGGTGAGCTCATGGAAGCTCCGTTCGCATCTGTGCTGCCTTCGCAAGCGTGGCGAAAGGGCGGCGGCACCCCAGGCCAGAACGAGGAGACGCAGGCACGGCACGCGTCGCTCCCTATCCAGACAGAGGCAGGGGCTGTTGCCGGTGGATGCCGGTGGTGCTTTGTACTGTTGGCCGCTTGCGGCACAAATGAAGTTGGAAGCCCAAATCAGCGCAAAGCCAGACTCGCAAGTTTGTAGAGGAAAGCTGTGTCACTTCATGTAAATTGCTGTAAATTATGTTTGCTAACGGATTTCAACCTGCCTGGATCACAGTTGGAAGTTTTAATAAACATCGATCACTCAAAGGAGGTTTCAGGGTGATGAGTTTGGTGCTTGTTCCTTTTCTATCGAAGGGTTCTGGCACAGATGTGGCCGACTTTCAGATCCAAACATGCGATCTTCAAATTCCCCATTGCAAATCCCCCAGGCTGCCTGGACATAGCAGCTCCCCCAGAGAAACGGCCGATTTCTGCGAATTGAACTCACCACTTCAGCTAGGCTAGGTGACCGGACCAGGACGGGACCGGGGGAGGGGGGTGGATCAGCTCGCACGGTGCAGTGGCTGTCACCACCACTTCGAGGAACTTGCACAGATCAGTACCAATTCCTGCCCCAGTACCGCCAGGCGCCTCCGAGTGTCGCGGCGCCACTCACCCAGCCAGTGGTGACGGTCACCCCGCCGGAGGTTCCTAGGACCGAGGGACCGGGAGACGCGAACGTGGACGGTTCAGCTTCTTCACCGGAGTTCTTGGTTGTGGCCCGTTTCAGAGACCAAATTGAAGAGACCTCAAGCCGGGATCGGATGAAGAGAGGTCACTTGAAAGAGCAAGGAATCTGTTCACATATTGATGCATGCATTTCATTGTCATTCATTGTCACCGCTGCTGCTGGCTCAAAGGGAATGCTTTCCCCTGTCCTGAGGCACGTGATCAAGGGTCCGGGGCTCAAACCAGTGGTTTTTGAACTTCATAAATAAGACTGACCACCAGATTTGGGAACAACATATTTTGCGACGTCACTGTGCATTCCAAAAGACACAGCTGGGGCTCCATCCCAATCCTTGCCAAGCTTATTCAATTCCCAAGTGTGGAATGGTTGACCGCAAAAAGCTCTGAAGTGGGAGACATGGATCTAAGCTGAAAAACAGTCGTGCTCGATCAATGACAAACAAAGTCAACTGGATCAGGAAAGCATCTGTGTGACGGGCAGTCTCCCCGAGACGTGGCCGAGGCGACATTTGTGCTTCAAGATGGCAGAGGATGAATATGTTACGGCCACCCAAGAGACGATCGGGACTCTCATCACGAAGCCCAAAATGACTGAGAAGTACTTGAAAAAGCCTCCATTCAGGTTGGACTGCTAGCTGCTGCTAGCTGCTGGCTGTGGGTGTTGTTCAGTGGTTCTTGCTCTTAGCAACGTCGTCAGGTGCAACCTGACTTCTTGTGACTTACACCGGCACTCAAAGGAAGACATGTGAGCGTTAAACCTCCCCGTCAGGTTTAGTTGTGCGGTCGTCATATGAAATGAACGCTTCGCATGAGCAAAACCCTGGCGTGTTTTAAAGTTGCGTCAGCTATCGGTTGGAGATAGGAGTTGCGCAAGCTGCGCATGTCATATCACATTTCATTTACATACATTTACATGTAGATATTGCAGACAGACTTGATTACTTGATTCATACATACGCCATTGAAACATGAATGTAGGGTTTGTTTTTGACCGGCTGCTTGAATATTCTTCGACGATGTGCAGAACTGAAGAACAATCCATCAGGATTTTGGTGCCGGAAATCCACGGTCAGTGACGCATAAGCTCTGTGTTTCCGCCCGGCGTAGACGCCTGTTTTGCTTTGTGAAACGCCTCCAAAAAGCTTTCCGAATTGCAATGCCGCCAAAGGCAACGCACTGTCCAAGCCATTTATGAACGCTTTGCCACTCACTGCCGAATTCGCAGGATGCAACATATTTTTGCACGACTCAGTGCTTGCCAAGTGCCAATCCTTTCTGCCAGATGTCTTTGCTGGACATGCTTTGTGCACTCTGCCTGGAGAACAGATCGCGCGTAAGCTGCGTTCGTGGTCCAGTGCCACAATTCCTTGGCGTAAGTGTCGCTCACGCATACGCTGCCACTGTGGTCGTAAGGGACGTCGGATGCCATAGATTTTGAGAGCGTGTTCACAGCCTTGCTGCGGAGGTTTCTTCATGATATCGTGATGGAAGTCACCAAGAAGACAACCTTCGGGCAAGGTCTTTTCAGCCCAGAGGAATGCGATGCAGCCAATCTCTCCGACACTCGGTTGGGTCGTTGACCATTGGTCTCATGTCTATTGAGTTTAGTGCTTTGGACGAACAGGACCCTACATGTGTCTTCTTTGTGCCACCTAAGGACCTAGGCTCCACCAGAAACCAAACATGCTTTTGGTGGGGGATATTGCAGGGGTTGCATGATTTGCCATGATTGCCTGCCATCCGGACGGTCGAAGAACCGGACGGTTTTTGCTGAAGGGTCTGACGGTTTTGATCGACAGATGAATGAGACCATTTAGCTGGCACTTCACTATGGCACCTCAGAAGGTTTATATAGTTTATATAGATGAAAATGTTCACCTCTCCTCCCTCTCTCTCTCTCCCTCTCCGTTTATGTAATCCCCTGCCGAATAAACCCTATAGAATCTGAGAGGTCAATCTGAAAATTTCAAAATGACCGTCAGAATTGAAATGCCAGATTATCTCTAGAATGAGGTATCAACCTACTTGGAAAAAACTATAGCCTATTATAGCCTTAAAAACTGGTTGGTTTTTTATGATGCCCAATAGGTTGAGCCATTCCATTGTATGGAGAAGGCATGAAAATGCACCAGATTGTATAGAGGTTACAACTTTGATTGTATAGACAGCATTTGGAGTAGCAGAAGGCTGAGAACTCATTTCAGAGTGGATGGTGTGTTGTGAGGTCAGATAGGTTGATATCTCATGCGGTTTCCGGTGAATGTTGGGATGCTAGATTTCAATTGTCCAACAATCCCTCTATAGAATCTTTTTTTGACCTTCTTCTAAGCTGAATTTCGAGTCTGCAGTTTCCAAGCATGTCTCTATACAATCGTAATCAACCTCTTACCTTCATAGTTTCCCCACTTCTCTGTAGAATCAACCTCAGCATGTGTATATATATATATATATCGTTGCTTTTCCCACATTTTGGCATCGAAAATCATTGAGGAACATAATGTCCTTGCTCAAAAGGTGGAGCTGAACCATTTTACAGAGAACAGGTTCTCAGCACTGCAGGGATGGAGGTTTGATTCTATAGTGGGGCATTGTTCTTGCAGAGGTTGGTTTGGCAATTTATCACTATAGAATTTAATTCCCGACATTCACCGGTAATTCCACAGAGGATTCTCTCTCTATATTTATTAATATATGATAGCAAGATATCGAGCTAAATTGAGTTTACTTCTTGTGATCTTCACCAGGAGTACTGTGTTTTCGGACTACAAGTGCAAACCATGTCACCGAGGATAAGACGGCTAAGCTGGACTTCCTCAACAAAGCCATCAGCGTCACATGCTTCGCGCTGGGGGAGACGATTGATGTCTCAGCCACGTGGCAGAAGGGGAAAGGCCTCCTTTGCACTCACCCCACCCACCCATTGTTTCTGTTGTTGACTTATATGTATTTGTCGTTTTGTGTGACCGACTGTAGGCTGGAGTGCTCCCAAGGGGACGACCCTCATTGTGGGAAATGCCCGGCCCTATATATTGAGCCAAGGGCGAGTCTCAGACAAAGTTGCACGGTTGATCAATACTATATTAGGAGATGTTTAACATGTGCAAGCTGTTCTGGAACTCTAAGCCGAGTCTTGCAGTGGTAGTCTCTCAAGAGGCCGGAGCCTTTTGAGAATCTGGTCAGAAGGACCGAGTTGTGCAAAGCAAGGCCAACAAAATTGTGGCCGGTCTAGAGCCGGAGAAGACCAACGCGTGGCTACAGAGGCTGCATGCGGCAGCGACCACCTGCGCCGGAGAGAAGTCCGATGCAGCAGTGGCACGGGTCCAAAGCGGGGAGCTGATTGGAGCGTCGAAGGAGCTGATTGGAGCGACTGTGCAAAGCCACTCTTTTGGCAAATTCTTATAGACCCATCTGGTGGGGAATGGGGCTGTGCTTCCAGGGCCTTCCAAAAACCACTCCGACATGGAACCTTTGATTTGAATTCCGCCCATCACCACCAGGACCTTCAACATTGGTTCACTGTTATTTGCCAGTCAGTCACTGAGTGAGGAGAAGAAAAAGAAACCCAAGGAAGAAGGAGCAGCCGCTCCTCCTCCACCACCTGCAGAAGCTGAAGCCGCTCCTGCTGATGAGGAAGCCAAGAAGAAGGAAGAAAGGAGGAAGAAACGGGAAGAGGAGAAGAAGCGCCAGGCAGGGCAGACATCAGTTTGTGTCCTCCACAGTGCTTTCGAATCATTGGTTTGACATGGGGAAGCCTCAAAGATAGGTCTCGGCCCAGTAACAAGCAAGCCCCCTCTTGTTCGAATGGACGAAGCAGCTCCCTGTCCTCTTCACCCGTCGAAGAGGTTGTTGTAGAGACGCTTGGGAACTTGGGTGCCCCAGACAAAAGGATTTGTGGGGTATGGCTGAAGACCTGTTGATGACTGGGCATGATTCGCAGAGATCCCTCTCATTCCTCCAGTTGCAGGTTAGATGCATTACCAAGCCTTTTTTGAAGGACAAGCCTGGCTGGAGATTACCATCAAAGAAGTCTTGGGGAAAGCGTCTGAAGAAAGCTCACTCAACAGGATGCTTTAAATGGGTGACCCTGATGAAAGCTACCGGAGTTGCTTCCTGAACCACAGGCCCAAAAAGGCTTCGGCTTTGGCTCAGAAAACTCCCACCGCAAACGATGCAAGGCTTGTCCGGGCACCGCTGGTCCGCAAGAAAACAACATGCACTTGGAAATTTGGACATTCTTTTTGTCCTTCCCGCTATTAGGATGGAGGCCATCGCTCTCAGATGGGAGCTTGTTTTGTAGCAACAAAATCAACAAACACCACTGGAGAGTGACGGTTGCGCCACCAGGAAGCGGAGGCAGCTGCTGCTGCTGCCGCGGCAGAGGAGCCTGCAGCGCCGCAGGCTCCCCCGCCGCCAGATGAAGAGGAAGAGCGAAAGAAGGCCCATGCATCCACACAAACAAACACACGCACACACACACACACGAGTATGATGTGTATATATAGTTTCTAGCAAATGCAAACTCGTGGTGCCTACAAAAACCTCAACGCGCGATGGAAGGTGTTTGTGTTAAAATGTTTCCTTTTTTTGCAATTTGGAGAGTCCACAGAGAAGCTGATGTCAATCAAGTCTTGGAGCGCGCACCACCCAGTGGAGCCGGATGTACATGACACATGTTTCTAGCACATACATGACAAAATAGATGTGATCTACTAGAGTGGTAGCATATGCAAAACGTTCTTTGCTTATTTTTCAGGGTTTCAACAGTTTCAACACTACGAGATGGACCTTAGCTAGTCCTGGAAAACCAACATGGTGTGTTTCTTCTCACTGCCATGCTACAAGAATAACTTTAAACCATGCCCAGGAGGAGAAGCGCAGAAAGGACGAGGAGCGCCGCCGGCGAAAGGAGGAAGAAAAGCGGCGCCAGGAGGCGCGAGCTCCGATGAAGATGGATCCAGCGAACTCTTTTTGAAGGTTGGGGATGGGCCCAAGCCCTTGGGCCCATCCACATCCCCAAGGACTCAAGGACGACCTTTTTCGGGAGGGTTTTCGGGAGGGTATGTGGAGGAGGAATCTCGGAAGCAACTGGTGGAAGACTTATGAAAGATGGTCATGACTCATGACAGTTGATGGAAGATACAGTGAGATGCCTGCAGTACCTGGATTGGAACCTCGCAGAACCCTACATCAGCCTCCGGCCTCTTTCCCATTTCAGCTCATTCAGCTGCTCGAAACCATTGGAAAGGCTCCCCGAAGGGCATGATGCTCCCCCACCATGAAGATTTCAAGGAGCATCATGTTATCTTCCGACGTTTCCTGGCTTTTGACGCTGGTCATTTGATCTGTACATATTGTATAAAATGAACAGGGAGGTGAATGGTGTTTGGAGATGTTATGGTTTGTACCCTGCAACCACGGAGGTAAGTGACCAGTTTGTTGTTATTCCCGACAAATTTATGATTTGGGGGTGGTATGGGATTGTTCTATACATATATATATATATAGATTTATTCCCCAAACAGTTTACTGTTGGGGTTCTATCTTAGAAAGAAAAGAGCTGGCCACACTCACTGGCCGCGCCCCTGAACTCTGTGGCTGGGCTCCGTGGCTGGGCTCTGTGGCTGGGCCCTGTGGCTGGGCCTTGTCCTCCTCTTGGCTGCGCCCTGAACTCTGTCAACTCTGGCTGGGCTCTGTGGCTGGGCCTTGTCCTCCTCTTGGCTGCGTTGTGTGGCTGGGCCTTGTCCTCCTCTTGTCCTCGTCTTGGCCGCGCCCCTGAACTCTGTCAACTCTGTGGCTGGGCTCTGTGGCTGGGCCTTCATGGAAACAGAGCATATCCCCTAACCAAG